GGGTTGAGCTTCATTTGGTACTTTCGTAGGGTGGCGAAGGTCTCTCGTAGGTCGGTCAGATGGTCAGCGGAGAGTTTGCTCTTGACTAGCATGTCATCGACATATACTTCCATGTTCCGACCGATCTGATGATGGAAAACGGCGTTGACCAACCGTTGGTAGGTGGCCCCAGCATTTTTCAGTCCAAATGGCATAACTTGGTAATGGTAAGTGCCTCGGTCGGTAATAAAGGAGGTATGTTCCCGATCAGATGGATGCATCAGAATTTGGTTATACCCAGAGAAGGCATCCATGAAGCTGAGCATTTGGTGACCAGCCGTGGCGTCGACCAGCAGATCTATGCGGGGAAGAGGATAACTGTCTTTGGGGCAAGCTCGGTTGAGGTCTGAGTAGTCGACGCAAAGTCATCATTTATCATTATTCTTGCGAACCAAGACCACGTTTGACAACCATCTAGGGTAGTCCACGTTCTTGATGAATTGGGCCTCAAGGAGCTTGTCAACCTCTGCGGCAATAAGAGTCGCTCAGGATGAAAGATGCGTTGCTTTTGGCGGTAAGGTCAGAAATGGGGTTCAATGCTGAGGCGATGGGTTATGAAGGAGGGGTCAATACTCGGCATGTCTGAATGGGTCCAGGCAAAGACATCATTGTGCTCGGTCAGGAGGGCAGTAAGGTCGGCCTTTGCTTGGGGGGATAGTTGGCTGTCGATTTTGGCAGTTTTCGTTGGGTTGGTGGTGTCAATGGGAACCTCCACGAGCTCCTCCACAGTTTCTCCTCTGACCAGCTCGTCCTCATCTCGGACGTCAAGTCCTTCAATGATCATGGCTTCCTTCAACTTGACTTCTTTTAGTGAGGCAACATAGCATTCCCTGGCCACGGTTTGCTCTCCTTTTACAGTCTCGACCCCCAGATCGGTGGGAAACTTAACGGCAAGGTGATAAGTTGATGTGATAGCTTGGAAGGCATTTAGGGCAGTGCGGCGAAGGATGATGTTGTAGGCGGATGGGCAGTCAACGACAAGGAAGGTGAGCAACTTTGTAGTCTGCCGTGGGTACTCGCCAATTGTGATGGAAAGATCAATGGAGCCGATAGAGGTGACCCAGTCGCCAGTGAAACCGACCAAAGGGGTTTGGAGAGGAGACAGACTTTCCTCTCCAATTTTGAGTTGGCGAAAGCAGTTGAGAAAGATGATGTCTGAAGAACTGCCGTTGTCGATGAGAACTCGTCTGACCTTGTAGTTGGAGAGGAGGGCAGAAATGACGAGAGGGTCATCATGAGGGTAGCGGATGCCTGTACAGTCGGCGTCCGTGAAGGTGATAGGCTCGGTCCACTGCTTGGGCTATTTGGAGGGTCGATCGACTGTGGCAACTGCTTTGTCTGAGCCTTGCCTTATCTTCCTGAGTTCTGCCCTCTGAGCCGAGCAGGATAGTCCCCCGCAAGCAAGGCCGCCTGAAATGACTCTGATCTCTCCAACAGGTGGAGGGGGGTACCTGGCTGCCGAGGTTGCTGTGGAGGGCGATCATGGCCTTGGTTAGGTTGCGCTGGCTACCGGGGACCGCTAGCGGTTGTTTCTGAGGGGCTCAGTTCTTTGCCTTTGCTGACGGCGGGTGTCCGTGAACCGGCTAAGACGCCCCTGGCGTATGAGGGTCTCGACCTGATCTTTGAGGTTAATGCACTCATCGGTGTTATGGCCATGGTCCTGGTGGAAACGACAACATTTGGACTGGTCTTTTTCGATTGGAAGGGGTTCGTGACGGTTGGGGCCATTTAAGGGGGTAGTCCTGCTAGATCTGATTGAGGAGTTGTTCCATGGGAGAGTTAAGGGGTGTATACCGCTCGAACCGACCGGGCGGTCGAGCTTGTGCTGACCGGTCAGCTCGTGGGGGCCGGTCGGTATAGTGTGGTGTTTGGCTATTATACTGGGTGTTTCTGGGTTCTGAGTTTTTTCTCTTTTCTCTGGGGGTCGGGTTTTTGGTTATGGGGTCTTGCCGGGCGGCTAAGGAATCCTCAGCGTTCATGTATTTTTGGGCTTTGGAGAGTAGGGCTGCCATGGAGGTCGGGGGATTTTTAGAGAGGGAGAACAAAAAGTCGGACGACCGCAGACCGGCCATGAAAGCAGTGAGGATGACCTTGTCATCATTTTTCGCAACTTGCAGGGCCTCGGTGTTGAAGCGGGTAACAAAACTGCGTAGCGACTCCCCCTCGGTCTGTCGAATGTTGAGGAGTTGGGTTGCCGAGCGTCGCTGGCACTGGGCTCCAATAAAATGGCTAAGGAATGAGTCACTGAGATGCTGGAAAGTGGAGACAGAGTCTGCTGGTAACTGGCTAAACCACAGCCGAGCTGACCCCTTCAGCGTCACGGGGAAAACTCGACATATGATCTCGTTAGAGAATGCATGGAGGATCATGAGGGTTCTGTAGGTCTCCAGATGATCGACTGGGTCCGTCGTACCATCAAAAGAGTCGATGGTGGACATCTTGAACTTGAGGGGTAGAGGTTTGTCGCGGATGGAGGCGACAAATTATGAGTTTGCTGTGGTAGAGGGTTTATGCTGGATGTTCTGCATGACCCCCTGGAGTTGGAGCTTCATGGCTCGGAGTTCCGCGTCCCAAAGAGGGATATGGTCACCTCCGGAGGGCAACGGGGGCTGGACGCTGCTAGCCTCTCCTTCAAGGATTGGTGGCGGGATCGATGGTTGTGGGCCCCAGGGTGGTAGGTTTATACCTAGGGAAGGGGGTTGCAAGCCTTCTCTGTTGGGCGAATTAGGCTGCGGAATAGTATGGCTCGAGGCTTGTTCGTAGTTGAGAGGAATATCGGGAGGTGGTGGAGGGGGCATAGGAAGGTTTCTTTGGAGTAGGGCATTGATCAGGGCTTGGTTTTGCTCGGCCATGCGGTTAATACTGTTGGTAAGCTCGATGAAATATTGTGGTGGGTTGTTTGGATTGGGGGGGTCGGCTTGGTGGTCGGTAGCATTTTGGTGAGAAGCCATGGATTTAGTCGTGACCATACACTTCGATGGGTAGCAAGAAAAGGTTATTAGAATAGGGTCTCCGGCGACAGTAAACACAACTGGCGCGAGGAGCAAAGCTTTCCCACAGACGGCGCCAACTGATGATACAGTTACTACACAACAGGTCCCAGATGGAATGGGTCGGACTAATCCACGCTTCTTCAACCGGTAATTGGGTGTTCAAGCCTACCAGAGAACCTGCACACAAGTTCAACAGAGGAACGGGGAGTCCCCTAGCGAACCCTCTGATGAGCAAGTTAGAGAGAGAGAAGTGTAATGTAGAGATATTAATTAGAGATAGGAAACTTAACTTTCTTCTTGTCTTCAACGTTTGCTTATATCCTTTGGTCATCATTTCGCTGTCCCTTCCGACCTGTCATCTTGGCCGAAAGTCTATGCTGTAGCTTACCTTATTCAGGATAAGGGGGTGCTGTTTCGACGGAGAGGTGTTGTCGTAATAAATGCTGTGATGGGTTGCATTAATGGTGATGTGCAGTGGCAATAATTTTGCAGATCTTTGTCTGTTGATATGACTTGTCCTTTACCTGCCGTATGTCTGAATGTCATTAGCTCTTTATGCCACGTTGGATTCCAGCTGTTCTGGACTTCACCAACTGGGTTATGTATTGGGCTCTAAGTGATAGGTTTGGATTGTTCATAATAGGTTATGGCCTTTATAGGCTTACCCACGTCAATATGAATTAATCATGTGTTTTTAGTTTTTTTTTTTTTTCTCTCCTTTTTGAACTAATCACAGGTGAGTAAAAATTATAAGAATTATACATATAAATATAAATATATATTTGGAGGTTTGTAACATTGTGATGGTGTTTGGGAAGTGAGTTTTTATGTAGATTTTATTAGATGTAGGTTTTTATGAGATAAAAAATTTTTGGTGTTTGGGAAGATAGTTGAGTTTTTATGTGGTTGGATGTGATGTTTGTGAGAGAAAAAGTGAAATGATTATGGGGTTGGATGTAATATTTTGTTTGGATGTGTTTTTTTTGGTTTTGCAAAACTTTTGTCTTTTAGTAGAAAAAATGAGAAAAAAATTTGGGAACTTGCTTCCCAAACACCACCAGTGTAATAATAATATGACAAGTTATCAGAAATAAACAGTTTAATTGTGATTGCCAATGCCAACCAACGAAACGACCTCTTAATTGGCTTACCGTCCCTGTACAACCAACCCCCTCGTGTTCCAATAAATTGATTGCGTATGTCCGTCTCTACCCGCCCTTGGCATTTCTCTCCCTCCCTCCATCCTTGTGAGTTCGTTTTGTTCATTCAACTCAAGCAACCCAAACCCAAACCCAAATCAACAGAGGCGCTCTCGAGTCTTCTCTTGTGAGTAAATCCAATAATGGCTTTGAAACTGAATCAAATGGCCTTCCAATCTCGCAAGTTCTCATCATTTTCTCTCCCTCAATCTCGCAATCTCAGATCTCACCGAGTTTTCATGGCCTCCACTCTTAACTCTGCTCCTAGGTGAGTGCTTCTTTTTTATTTTATTTTAGTTTTTTGTGGCATATATGCAGATGGGTATCATTATCTTTATTATTGATCTCGGTTGATTATGTATTCGAGGCTAAATTAGCTAAATTTCTTGTAAGCTTCTTGATTTCTTTGTATTTTTCTTATTCTTTTAATGATTTGTTTGTATTTTTATTTTTAAAATTATTTCTTCTTGCTTTCATCTGGGGTTTAAGTGCATGATGATAGTGATCACATGGGTTTTAATTGATGCATGCGTAGATTATTCAGATTCAAATGTTTAATTACTAACGTATAAATTACTTGTGGGTCGTTAATATTGTTTGTTTACCTTTTAGCCTGTCACTCATCCATTAATTTAACTGTTATCTTGAAAAGCTGTGTTGATTTTGTGTGGTTCTCAATAGACTTGTATCCCTGTGGGGAGTTGGGTTTGTTCTAGCAATTATGGTTCTGCCATATTTTGATCTGGGCATTTAGGTGAATTTTATGTTTTGCTTGCTACTAATACATAATGCAAGCAGTATGAAGAGAATGACTTCTTTCTAGATTGTACCCAACGCAGTGAGGTCTAATCTAGTTCAAACACCTATATTTGTCCACCCACTCACAAAATCCATTGACCCATCTGATATTGAGTCAGACATTTTGGTTTATTCTAATTTGTGCTTGTGTGTGGTGACCAAATCTGGGTCTTTGATTCCTAAAAAATGTTCAACTCTCCAGTTCTAGGCCCAAGCTGGAGAGAAGCCAATCTCAAAAATTAAACAAATAAGAGAAAGGAAGATTTTTGTCAATGTTGGTTCATGATCTTATGTATATTATTGTATAACTGTTCATTTGCTAGTTCTTGAGCACACCTCTTATCATTTGCAAAGAAAATAGGAGAACAGTGAGGCTGATCAGAGAGGGATGCATGATTGACTTGAAATTCCACCTTCCCATCTCTTGTTTGTTATTATTTTATTTTTCTTTCATTCCATTTTGTTGTGCAGATGTGATCTGTATCTGCATTTGTAATTTTGGGTCATAATTATGGTTTATTGTTTTTCATGCTTCTAAAAACTCCACTTTGTTTATAGAGAGGTTGAGAATGTAAAGAAGCCTTTCAGTCCCCCACGAGAGGTACATGTCCAAGTGACCCATTCCATGCCTCCACAACAGATAGAAATATTCAAATCTTTGGATGATTGGGCGGAGAAGAATATCTTGGTGCACCTAAAGCCTGTGGAGAAATGTTGGCAACCAAGTGATTTTCTACCAGACCCAGCCTCAGAAGGATTTGATGAGCAAGTCAAAGAGCTTAGAGAAAGATCAAAGGAAATTCCTGATGACTATTATGTGGTGTTAGTTGGAGATATGATCACAGAGGAAGCCCTGCCAACTTATCAGACTATGCTTAACACTTTAGATGGAGTTCGAGATGAGACCGGTGCAAGCCCCACTTCTTGGGCTATTTGGACAAGGGCATGGACTGCTGAAGAGAATAGGCATGGCGACCTTCTCAACAGGTATCTTTACCTTTCTGGACGGGTTGACATGAGGCAAATTGAGAAGACAATTCAGTACCTGATAGGATCAGGAATGGTGAGTTTTTTCAAGTTCCACTATTTTTTTTAGGTTTAGCCATTTCATTCCACCAGAAGTTTGGGAATGCTTCACAGGGGACTCTGTTAATAAAATTTGTTTAGGGAAGGCTTCAAGTGTTTTTCCAAGTTAATACTTCATTATGAAACTTTCACCCACGGGTTCCTATTTAGCTTGCTGCACTTTCTGTACTTCTCTAGCAGTAACCCCCATTTGTTTTGTTTTGATGATGCAGTCCGCTGAAATTGCTGATTTGTAACCTTTGGTTAGTAGATATTCACCCAAAAAAAACCTTTGGTTAGTTTTTTTTTACAGAACAATCATTGTCTGGGATATTAAGGGAGAAATAAATATATGTTTATTTTTTGTGCAGTGGTTAATAATAATCTGTTCTCTGTTTTGACCAACAAATTGCATTTGTTCAATGCACAAAGTGATCAATGTTGCCTGAGGGGTCAAATACTACTGCTTTATGGAAAATTAGTCGACTCCTTTTTGTTGCCTAAGTTTGCACAAATCTGTGTTTTGATAAATAGTTTGGACAAACCTATTACATCTATGTGCTTGTAGATTTGATGGGGATGTAATTTAGACAATTTTAGATTCTAGATGTCAACACAAGATTTTACCCGTCTTTGTAGTGTAATTTCTTAGTGTTTAATATGCCTCCTTATGTTAGTGTGAGTGGCTATGCTGCACCTGCACTTCAGTTATTATTGTTATTTTGAACTGGTAGGGTTGAACCTCTGATCTATTTGGAATGCTTATCACTTTCTGGAGGACTTCATTATTTTTTCCTTCTTTTTTTCCACTTGGTGATCTGTGTTTGGATATAGTTTTAAATTTTTTTCTCCTCTAATCATTAGGATCCTCGGACGGAAAATAGCCCCTATCTTGGTTTCATCTACACTTCGTTTCAAGAGAGAGCAACCTTCATTTCCCATGGTAACACTGCTAGGCTTGCAAAGGAGCATGGAGACTTGAAACTGGCACAGATATGTGGTACTATTGCAGCAGATGAGAAGCGCCATGAAACTGCATATACCAAGATTGTTGAGAAGCTCTTTGAGATAGACCCAGATGGCACTGTGTTTGCTCTCGCTGATATGATGAGGAAAAAAATCTCAATGCCAGCCCACTTGATGTATGATGGCCAGGACGACAACCTGTTTGAACACTTTTCTTCTGTTACACAGCGGCTCGGAGTCTACACTGCCAAGGACTATGCTGACATTTTAGAATTTTTAGTGGGAAGATGGAATGTAGAGAAGTTAGTGGGTCTTTCTGGTGAGGGACGCAAAGCACAAGATTATGTATGTGGACTGGCTCCAAGGATCCGAAGATTGGAGGAGAGAGCTCAAAGCAGGGCCAAGCAGGCCTCCGCAGTTCCATTCTCCTGGATCTTTGATAGACAAATTAATCTTTGAATGCAGCAGCATGGAAGGTAGGTCAGCTTCTCCCTCCCCTCCCTTAACATCTATTTCTTCCATAGCCATAGAATTATAGACAAAATTATGAAATTAATTGCAAGTAAGAACACAATAAATAATGTTATGGGTTAAATTAAATTGCTTTTTGTGTCCCTTATGTTTGAGGAGGGTGGGGTTGAACAGAAGCTTAGTAGATATGTACTTCTTTCTTGATGTTGGCAGCATCCATCAGCAAACGAGGACAGCTGTAGGTAGCTAGCTATGTGTTTTTTTTTTTTTTTTTTTTCCCCCTTCGCTTCGTTGGTGTACTCTCAAAAATGTTTTGTATGAATGCTATTTTTGTTCGGTGGTGCCCTCAAGCTTACGATAGTGCAATGTTGAGTGCAATGCTATTTTTGTTTAGTGTATTATTCATTTTTGTTAGTGCAATGTTGAGTGCCCTCAAGCTTACGATATCTATATGATGGTGAGAATAATTTGACTATGATAATGGATAATGATATATTGCGTGGTGATTAGCAGTGGGCAAATGCTCACATAGCTGTTGAAAACAACAAAAATAAAACATATTATTTTGTATTTGTTGCGGGAAAAGAGTGGCAAACAGTTGGGATCATCAATTAACCTACCAATCTGTTGTACTGTCTACTAGGTTTGTAAATGGGTATTTAATTTAATATATGCGCAATGGGATCATCATCTGTCAATTCCATTTTTATTTTATTTTTATTTTTTTTGGGTGGGGAGTTGGGGACAGGAAGTTGTTGTAGGGGGTTAGTGGTTGGTTTAGGGTTAGTGGTTGGTTTAATCGATTTATTAGTTGTTGAAAGTAGATGAGAGGTTGGTTGGTTCTTCTATGGTTGGCTCATTAAAGTGTAGTAGAATGTATTTTTTGTGGTATTCAAAATGGTTCTCATCTGCTCCATCTCTCAATAAATTCTTCAGACCGATAGAAATTAATACGATAAGAGTAATGTCTGGATGTGGGACCCTAGTAAATTATTTGAGATCCCTAGCATTACTCATATGATAGAAATTATTTGAGATCCCTAGAATAATGATCATTGTAACTCAATATACTTTTTGATAGAAATTTTTTGACTTTCAAATAGTACTTGCCCATATTTCAATTTTTGCCCCCACAAGTTTTTAAAATATTAATTTACAAATATTTTTAAAAGCTATTTTTCCTCTCCAAAAAATGTTTGGAATTTTCTTCATGTATGATGAAATCAAATTTTATCCTTTTTTCAAATTAATTCAGCCAAAGTTGGTCGAATTTCAGCTGAGGAACAAATTTATTATTTTTTTTTGGTGGCCTTTTTGAGAAGCATAAAAACCAGAAGCTGTACTTTTAGGATGATGGAGGAGTAAGGGCCTTCTTGGCTCTCCTTACTAGATTTTTGGATTCTTCCTACTATTAGAGAATAATTTACAGAGCTTTTTTTATTGGTCATAATTTTCTTCTAGATAATAAACCTAATTCTCTCTCTCTCTCTCTCTCTCCCTCCCCCCCCCCCTATTATTGCAACTTGCAAAGATGATTACCATATAATATGAGCAAAGCAGCAATCACCAAAGAGAGTCAGAGACTTCAAATAATATGTGAAATTTATTTGCATATGAGGCAGCCATGTTACTTTCTATTTGCATATGTGGAAATAACCTACTCCACCATTAAAATCTAAACAAATTCACAGCAGAGAGAGAGAGAGAGAGAGAGAGAGAGAGAGAGAGAGAGAGGGAGATTACCCAATATGTTCTTGATCAACCTTTTAAAATGCAATTCAATTATATATAATAATAATAATGATAATAATAATAATATATTTAAGACGCATGAAACAATATCACCAGGGCATTCATCTCTGCCAAGAAAACACCAATCAAAAACCCCAACCTCAACCTCAACCTACAACCCCAACCCCAACCCCAAACCCAAACCCAAACCCAAACCCAACAAAAGAAATAATGATTTCACAAACAAACAAGAGGTGTGTGTGTGTATATATATATTAGCGGGGATTAAGGAGGAACGATAAAGATTGGAATAATTAATGATTAGACTTGAAAAGGCCATGGCCAATTTTTCAAGTCATCATCCTCCTGGGCAGTCGTCTTGATGGCAGTGGCAGAAGAAGAATGATGAGCGCCATAGTAGAAAATGGCATTGTAATTCAAGAAGAATGCGAGTGTGAGCACCACCCACTCGAAGCAGAAGATGGCCACGCACAACCCACCTACCATTCTCAGTATCACCTCTCCATCTTCTTCCCTCACATACGACTTCAAGTTCCCCAGAAAATCACTCGTTCTTGTGAATATCATCACTGAGACTGATCCTTGGAATATAGCTGTTAGGACTGTAGCCACCATGTGAACCCCGTACCACTTGGCCGAGGAGGAGGAGGAGGAGGAGGAGGAGGAGGCAGCAGTGCAGCCGGAGATGGCACCTGCGATAGTGAGGATTTGGAGTAGGATTAGAAAGAATCCGCAGAGGGATGGGATGAGGCGGAGGGAGAGGGTGAGGAATATGCAGCTAGAGGCTGCACCTAACAGGATGTAGTTGCAGAATAGGAACATCTTATGAGTATGTGAGCTTGTTGCTGATGACTTGTCGCTGTTAATGCTCTTCATGGAGGACACGCCCATTTGAAGACACGACTATATATATTATATTATATTGGTGGAGAAAATCAGACACAATAAGATTATTATGATGATAGACTGAATGAATGAAGGAATTCTCAGGATTGGTTTGAGCACTACAGAGCTGAGCAGAGCAGAGCAGAGCAGAGCTGATGATGCTATTACTATTACTATTACTATTACTATTACTATTACTATACTAACTGTGTTTTGATTTTGAGAGCTAATGAATGAGCGGACAATGGTAAACATATACATACACACATACATACATACATATATATACTAGAGAGAGAGAGAGAGTCGGTAACGGTCATATTTGACTTGTGGAAATCCGACCGTTGGAAACGAGTGTTTAAAACCTAGCAATCTACGTGCAGCGTCTCTAACGGCTAGTTTTTCTTTCCGCAACGCAACCGTCTTTTTTTTTTTCTTTCTTTTCCTTTCCTTTTCCCCATTCTTCCTACTTTTTACAACCCTGTTTCATCTATTAAAAGGCCTATACAATTTCTTGGGTAATTGCACTAATATCTCCTCCATTATTAACAAATATCAATTTATTCCTCCTTATTTATGAACTCGTACATTTTAAACGCCTCAATTATAAAAACCAATAGAAAGAAAATAAGTTATGCAGTTTATAGTTAAAGAAATTAAAATTTAAAATATATACGTTCATAAATGAGAAGATCAGTTGATATTAGCTAATAATAATTGAATGGATATTAGTGTGATAAATCTTATATTTACGAAAAAAAATATTAAACAAGTTTATGTTTACGTTTAGTAAAAATAAAAATATAAAATATATTAGTACATATATTTTTCAAAAACTTAATTTGAAAATAAATTAAAACAGGTGATCATAATTGCAAATGAACACAAGTGGTGGTTTGCAATCAGCGACCAAAGGTGGTGGGTAGCATTGGCTGGTGGTGCCCATCATTGGCAGTAGGCAGTGGTGGGTGTAGTTGAGGAGTAATCAAGGAAAGAAATTTGATTTCAAAAAAAAAAGCTTTTTAACTAGAATTTAGTAAAGTTTACATTTTTTTTGGAAAATAAATAGACATCAAAAGAGTTTTTGTTTCTAGATTTCAAAATTTTTACAAACATAAATAAAACACTGTATTACCAAACAAACAAACAAACAAACAAACAAACATTTATTTTATTCCACAATTTTAATAGAAAGAACTCATATTCCTGATTCCTTCAAAACAAAATACCTTACACAGAAAGAGAACACTTCATGACAGACACATCACTCTTCTTAAGTTCTGATAAATAAAACCATTTAACCAAAAGCACAGCCAACTCCCGCACTAACTCATTTAATATTAATAAGAAGCTATTATAATAAATAAATAAAATTTGGTAGAGCAAATAAATAAGTTCCCATTGAAAATATTCAAGCCTGCAGAAAGCTTGCATACTTGGAACCAAGGAAAAGCCTTTGGATACAGAGTAAAGCATTTTTGGTGACCTCAGCATTGTCATGGTTCATCAATTTCATCACCCGCTCCTTCGCCTTCAGGTCAGTCACTATTATCCGCCCAGCAGGATGGAACTGAATAAACTGCGACAGATCAAAGCAAGCAACAGCTAGTGCTCTTTGATCACTAGATGTGTCCAAAATTGTAACAAGGACCCTTAGGATCTGCAGTCGCATATTCAAATATCAGTTTTACCCCAAGCCACAGAATCTGTCAAAACATAGTTATCTATAGGCACATGACCTTTTTTTTCACGCTAAATAAATAATAGAAATTAATTACGATTAAAACAAGCACAAGAAGTAAGAATGAAAAAGCATTTTGAAAAAAAAAAAGAAAAAAGGATTCCTCCAAAGGATCCCTCTGTAGTCCCTACTTCAATTGCTATTAGTATTAGTAGTAACAATCCCAACATATTCTCCTATAATGAATGCTTCTCTTCACATCTAACATTCATTACAAAATTAAACTCACCACAAAATTGTGAAAATGTGTATAACAATATAGCTATCCCTTTCCAGCTATTCTGAAACCAACCTCCACGAAGAAGGATATGCTGTGAAGTTTGAGTCAAATCATCCCAGAAAACCAAAAAATGAGATTAGGATTGGAAGAAGAGTGAACAAAAAAATGAAAAAGGTATAACCACCACTGCTCTTGCACAGTATACAAAAAGACAGGATAGAGACAAGTGTTCTAATAGGGCACACATAAGAAGTATCTCAGTTTTTAGTTTTATTCTGAGCTTACCAAGCCAGCAAGGCACTTCAAGGGACAAATTAGACTTCCAATAAGTTTGGCATTAAGAAAGAAATAATCAAAACCTTCCACCCATGGACTAAAGTATGAAACATTCCTGTACAGAAGTTTGAATTCGGGTCCTACCAAAAAGACGACTGAAGAAGAGGTTTACAAATGCTTCTGTACGGAACTAACCACCACCCATGTACGACAACAATGGAGAATTAGCAGTTTAGCACTCTCTTAATCATTGGATGTCTCCGAAAAATTATACACCTTTAAGAGCATGCTATATGTGGCTCAACTGACAATCACTTTATAGAATCTCTTTTCAATGAAAAAGCAGAGAATAAAACAATTGCAAGAGGGACAAGCAATACCTGGAAATCATTTTCTTCAAAGTATGTAATGTTATCACGCCAGAATATTGGATCTTTATGCATGGGGGACCAATCAAGTTGGCCAAGGAGGACTTCCTGCTTATATTTGTCAAAAGAACTCAGTTTCTTAATGTTATCTTTCAGCCCATCTTCCAGTTGATTTAGAGCCTCCAACAAGTCCTACCAAATCAAATTAGAAATATTAGTACTAAAAAAATAATAAATAAATAAAGAAGAAGCATATCCTCAGTTCAGGTAAAGAAGATGTGACTAATCCTCTTCTCAGTTTGATAGGAAATTGATTTTACAGTAAGCTTTGAGGAAATGTAGCAAGAACCTCAAAAGCTTGAGAAAGTCATCCTCATCATTAGACCCTGTCTAATTGTGCAACATCTAAAGTAATAATGTTAAAACTATTTCACAAACATTATAATGGAACACGATCACCATGTGCATGCAGATACAGTGATGAAGCTAAGCAATTAAATTAGTGAACTAATTGAGACAATCATCACCATCAAAAATGAAAGAAAATTATTAACATAGCCAATCCAAAATGATAAGAATTTAAAATTTTGTTGAATTACCTATACAGGTCACCCCCGTTAAAAAGATGAGAAATCTAGTTTCAAAATAGTTCAGCATATGATATGGCACAAATGAGAACTATACATTAGTGATTAACACACTGCCAAACTGTGTTACATGGACTCGTGTCCACCCGATATGACAAGGGTAAGTGTGTGGAATATGTGTCCGACACCCATACCCAATTTAGACACTTGAATCCTCTAATTTTTCACAATGTTCGAAGAAGTAACTCAAACTTGCAAATAAAGGAACATTTCTAGCCTCTCAAGTGGACATGAGATAGAAATTATATATTTTCCCTAATCCTATTAATTTAAAGTACATTTCCACATAATTTACATTATCTTATAATTTTATACAATATCCAATATATGTGTCCATGACGTGTCCCCGTATCCATGTCCAACTTTTGGAAACCTGTCCCAATATCTTAAGATTTAAGTTTATAAAGGTCAAAGCTGCCAACTACTGTATTTGTGCCCTCCAGTAAAGCCACCATGTCAAAAGGCCAAATGTCAATGAAATTTGAACACATATTTTACATTTATAATCACAATTACTTGTCAAATACGAAAGACAATACATTTTACATTATATATATAAAATAAATAAAAAGAAGAAGAAGAAGAAGAAGAAGAAAAAGAAGAAAGTTTAAATTAAATTAAAAATGTGCTACCAATATGGCACTTGGACTGTACTGCATGATGGAAGGATAGATGCATAAGCTTGACTCGTTTGAAATTTTTGCCTCCTCAAACCAAAAGAAACAAATGGGTAGGAAGAATAAAAACAATAAAACTTCATAGGTTTCTCACCTCATCACTCCATGCTTGTGCTTTCAAACACTGAACAAGTTGTGGAAGCCCAAGATCTACCATCTGAGCACCAAAAGTCCCTTTGGAAAGCAAATTTCGGAGGATCAAAACAACCACCCTGACAACCTAGTAAACAATAATGCAACAGAATTCTTGAATTCAGTTGGGGATGCAACATACATATTCTCTTCACAAGTAGATGAAGACAAACAAATGCAACAAACATTAAAATTGAAAAAATCACTCCCGCATTCTACGCTGGGGTACAGTAAATAAGGGACATAACATTTGTATAACCACCACTGCTCTTGCACAGTATACAAAAAGACAGGATAGAGACCTGCCTATGCAACTCTTACTCTGGCAGTAGTGATAGTTATGAATATGACTACAAACGGGAAATGGAATAAAATTGAGAATGGACTCAATGTGCAAAATGCCAACAACTCACCTTCTCCTTTGTGGAACCCTTCACAACCTCTGTTAATCGAGGAAGGGTTCTGGAAGTAGCCAAGTACTCAATTGCAGGTTCATAAAAAGATAAGAGCCAAACACAGAGACATGTTTCATAGAGAAGCTGTTTCAAAGAAAGTAAGTTCAATCAAAATCTACATAGAAAGGGCTAAACAAAAAGGAAACACGAAAAGCTCATCCTGAAGCTGTGTAGAATGAGATGCACGCTCACCCCACCTCCTAATATATGGGATTGGGATGTGCCAACTTTAGTCATAGAAGTTGTTGCTTATTAGTTGTAGGACTCCTAAATGGTGAAGTTACCTGGATGGACTGCTGAGTGGATGCTGGAGAAATTAGAGGAATGAGCAGCTTCACCCCATCTGCTTGAACAAATGAAGACCTCACCATGGGCTCCTTCAGTAATGTCGCCAGGCAATTGATGGCCATTGGGACAGCATGACTAGGATGGGAAGGCTTCTTCAGCTGCACATGTAGTGATGCACAGGGATAAGTATGGTGACTCATACTACGGAAAAATATGTCTTGCAATAGATTAAAAAAATAAAATAAAATATATATATATATATATTTGAGTGAAAATGATCAACAGCTCATTCAAAAGTGTATAAAACTCAGCTTCAAACCACTCTTTTGACTAGACATTTTAAACCCATTCGTCTCATATTGAACTAATTTAGATGTTTCGTCTAAGAAATAATTTTGCATATACAGAAGGTTCAGTTTTAGATTTAATAATGATACATTCCACCTGAAGTTGAAGAATGCTGTCTAACTCAATTGACTTTTAGGTAAGTTCTGGACAACAGAGCATGCAGTTTTGTGCTGGTGGAGGAGGTGGTGGTGGTGGTGATCAGCCTAGTGTTTGAAAGAGTGATAGGAGAAAGAAGACTATGGGGTGTTTGGTAGCTTGTTTAATTTTCTTAGGGTAAATCTGGGTTAATTAATTACATTTAAGGGATGGAAGGGTAATTTTGGCATTTCGTTTTTAAAATTAATGATATCAAAGCATAAATTACAAAGCAATTCCCTAGATAAATATAAAAAGTATACAATCATGTTAGAATGCATATCAATTCTCTATCATCATTTTTTTTTTTTTAAATCAAGTAACCTTATTCAAAAATTGTTTTGATCCCATCTATAGAATCAATCAAAAAGGAAACCCCTTGCAAGACAACATATCCAGCTCGGTTATTGATAGCATGAATACGTGACAGCTAAAAAAAAACCCTCAAATTTCTACAAATAATTCAGATTGCAAATAATGCCAGCTACTCAATTTATTTTTAACAAATCTTGTATGAGTATAATTTTTCTCTCCTTCCCCCCCGCCCCCCCCCCCCCCCCAAAAAAAAAAAAAAAAACAAAACCATGCTATGACTTAAGCCCTTAGTCTAACTCCCTAGAAAAAGTCAGAGTACCACATAAGTGGAGAACTAAGCCTAAACACATGTTTGAGATATTAAAAATGTGTTTAACCAACTAAAAAGTTGCTCAGTACCAAGCACATATGGAAAATTGCAGACAGACCTGTGCACAAAGCCATTCCACCAGTCCCTTCAAAACATCATCAATGGTACTCAGTTGCTTCTTCGAATTTGATGCTTCTCCATTTGCAGTACCCTCCTGATTTTTTGGCCTAGCACTGAAATTACCCAGAAAAGAAGGTAAAAAATGGTTAGTGAAATTTAGTTACACTAAAAAACTCAATCTGGTTCTTAGAACTTTTAACCATACTGTGTGGATAGATTGTTGTGATTCCAGTACCTCACTATCATCAAAAGTATCTTACAGCTCTTTTCTTGTATGAACGAATTACCTTTCCAAAGCAATCTGAAAGTGGAACTATGTCAGTGCACATTGATTTGCAGAACAAATGAATGTCTCCCAACTGAAAACATCATTCTCATATTCACAAGCCAATTGAGAGCTATGTTGCATCTTAATATAACACAAAAGAAGAATGGCAGAGTAGATGAAGGAAAATATAGAATGAAACTTATATACAGAATCCAATAATATTTACCCTTCAGTGACAACAAGAATTTCCTGATATATACAAACTTTCGGTAACCTCATTGGTGCAAAAAACTGCCTCATGAATACTAAATACTTCCATAAGCAGAATTGTACAAGCCTTTTTCCATCAGTGGACTATTTGGCCATTCCAAACATACATAACTGGTTGCATGAGCCGAAGACTTCAATCTACCACATTAGGTAGGGTGAGGTTCACAAGGAGTTGTCATCAGAGAAAGGTTGGCCTAAACCAATATGATGGGTATCAAACCCTCAGACAATGTTTGGATCAAGGATTTGAGGAGGGAAAAGAAAAATGAAGAGAAAAATGAAAGAAATATAAGCAAAATTTTTGCACTTTTCCCTTTCCTTTAATTTTCCCTCCACAAATCCCTCTCAAATATTTGATCCAAACATAGCCTCAATGTAATACCCTACGTATCGTAATTACCCTTATTTGGCATGTTTATAATCTTTGTCAATATGAATGTTCCATGGGAATATGTCAATTTATGTTCAAATGTGAATGAGATTATGTGTATGTTTGGTAGATTATTAAACTAATTTGGCTAATTGCATAATGCGCCTTAGCTTTCCTTTTAAGCGGGATCCCACTCCTTTTAGATTTGAGGATAAGTGATTGGAGCATCAGTCATTTAAGAAATGTTTTGAGGAACGGTGGGCTAATTGTGGGGTTCAAGATTAGAAGGTTTTAAATTCATGAAGAAACTTAGGCCTTGTTTAGTAAAGGCTAAAATAGCCAATTTTAGGCTAAGATAGCCAATTTTAGGCTAAGATCCACAAAAAGACAAAATAGGCTAAAATAGCTAATAATAAGACAAAAATGTCACATCAAACTCATAATCATTTCACTTTTTCTCTCACAAACATCACATTCAATTACAAAAAAATCCAATCATCTTTCCAAACACACAAATTTTAGCCTACTAAAATAGCCAACTTCCCAAACAGGGCCTTAAGACAGTGAAGGATGGGTTAAATGTTTGGAAAAAAGAAGTGCTTGTGGATTTGAGGAAGGTAAAAAAATGAAATTTCAAGAACGATAGTTGAGTTGGATAGTTTTGAAGCAAGAGAGGTCTTGAAGAGTCTCTTAGAAAGGAAATACTAGATTTAAAAATTAAGTTTGACATAGTGGTGTTTAGGAAGCAAATTTCATTAGGTCAAAAAGCAAAGATGAAGTGGTTAAAAGATGGGGATAAGAATTCAAAGTTTTTTCATAGGGTTGTGAATGGGAAGAGGGGAAAAAATGTATTAAAAGGTTAGAGATTGGTTCTGGGAGGCTTGTGGAAAGGAAAGATCAAATACTTAATGAGATTTTTTCCTTCTAATCAAGGTTGTATTATTTGGATGGGTAGAAAGGCTAGGGATAGGATGGTTTGGAGATGTCTCTAGTTGAGGCTAGCAAGTCCTAATCGGTTGGAGAGACATATTGACGAAGAGGATATTAAATTGGCAATTTTTGAGTTTGAAAGGAATAAGTTTCCAAAGCTTGATGCATTTTTCATGGTTGTCTTTCAAGATTACTGGGAAATTTGTTAAGAACAATTTATTGAAAGTTTTTGCCAAATTTTTTTCATTCATACGTTTGATACCTAAGACGGATAATCTTTGAACATTGATGATTTTAGGTCAATTAACTTAGTCACCTCTCTATGTAAAATTTTGAAATAAGTTTTATCAAGGAGGTCGAAAGCAATTTTAAGGGATAGCAGCTCTTATTCTCGAATGGACTTGGGATTTTTCAAGGACAACAGATTTTTAAATGTGCTATGATAGCAAATGATGTGGTGGAAAACACATAGAGGACCCAAAAAAAAGGTGTTATCTTTAAGGTGGATTCTAAGAAAGCATATGACCATGTAGAATGGATTTTTTAAATTGTCTCGGAAAAAAAAAAAAAAGAAAAAGGATTTAGAGTAAGGGGAGAAAATGGATTCAAGGTTGCTTGCCCTCTTGTAAGTCATCTATTATCTAGTTTTAAGGCTTTGTTGGAGTCTTATGCAGGGTGATCCTTTATCCCCTTTTTTGTATTCCTTAGTGGTGGATGTTTTGGGTAGGTTAGTTGATTGAGCTAAGGAGCTGGATGTAGATGGATTTTGCACAGGGAGGGATAGCAATTGTATATCTCATTTACAATTTGCAGATGACACCATCTTTTCTCGTTTGGTGAAGAGATTAAAGTGGTTAATTTGCTTTCTATTTTAAGAATTTTTTATATGGTTACTAGGCTTAGGGTGAACATCAACAAGAACACCATAGTGGGAATTGATTTTCCATACAACAAACTGAATAGGTAAGTAGGAATATTAGGGTGCCTCATTGAATCTTTGCCCAATAATTTAGGGTCACCTATGAGGGGTAATCCTAGGTGTGAATTTTTGGTATCCAATTATTGAGACAACAGGGGAAAAATTTAAGGGGTGGTGGAGGGCTTTCATTTCTAAAGAGAGATTTTCATTGTTTCAGTCGGTTTTGTCCAATATACCTATTTACTATTTATCTCTTATTGGAAAAAAAAATGATGAGAGATTTTTTGTGGAAAGGTAGTAAGAGGAAAAGAAAGATCACTTAATGACATTGGATATGACTTTTTTTCCAAAAAAAATGGAAGGGCTCTTACTGTGGGAAATATTATAGCTATAGTTATGAAGATTTCCTATAAAGCGAAAGTTTTTATGGCAGTCTGTTATCAAGAATAATTATGGGATCTAGACTAATGGATGGGATTCTAATGTGGTTTATTGGGGAAATCCTAGATCTCTATAGAAGTGTATTTCTCAAGATCTCGCTCATTTTTCACTATTCACCTGTTTCATCTTGGGAAATGGAGGAAAAATTCACTTTTGAGAGGATATTTGGATAGGGGATGATTCTTTTGATCATTACAAGGCCTTTAGCATCAATGAGAAGACCTAAGTTCTTTCTTTGGAGTTGTGTTATTTGTGCCATGTTTTAGGAAATTTAGTCAGAAAGAAATGTAAAAAAAATTTAGGGTAAATTACAAACACAGCCCCTGACGTTTACTTAAATTACAAATTACCCCTTGTGGTTCTAGAAATTATATTATGCCCCCTAAGGTTTCTAATTTCATAACAAATTGGTCCTTTTATTAATAAATCATCAAGTTAATTAACGGTATTTAATAATGTTAAAATTTTATTTCAATTAACAATTCAGATAATTTTATTATTGTATAGGTGAACAGTTAAAAATTTTACTTTTTCAAATAGGGTTGTTTTGGGAAGTTGGTAAAAAGCTGGCTTTTGGTTTTTTATCAAGCTTTTTGGCTTTTTCGGAAGTGATTTGGAAAATTGGTAAAAAGTTGACTTTTTGCTTTTTAGTTTAATATTTATTTATGGTGTCAAATCAAATTAAAATGACCAAAATGCCCTTACCCAACATAAGAGATTTATTTTTTTTTCATAGGCCCTAATTTGTAATTTTAGGGCTGCATTTTTGGCACTTCCCAAAGGGATTTTGTTTCGTTTTTGACAGCCACGTTTTTGGATATTTTGTGCAAAAACGTGGCTTTTTACTATGTTCCCAAAATGGCACTTAATTCTATTAAATAAAAAATTCTGACAGGGAGGTATTTGTAATTTTCCAAACCACAAAGGCAATTCGTATTTTAAGCAAATTTCAGGGGGTGTATTTGTAATTTACTCAAAAATTTAAAAATAGAGCAAGTCTAAGAATTTAAAAGGATTATGGGATATGCTAAGTATGCCTTTTTTTTTTTCTTTTTCCCTTACTACTATCTTATTCCCTGAGTCAAAACGTCCTTTGATTAATAGAGATTTGCAAGTTGTGTGATATGTAATTTTTGTTTCTTTTTATTTTCTATTTGGTGGACTTCCTGTCCTCCTTCCATGTGTATTTCTCCTTATTTCTTCCTTTTATTAACAAAATTTATTGTTGCCAACCAAAAAAATAAATGAGAACAGAAAACAGATGCAAAACAGGTATGCATTTAATAGATGAATGACTGATAGAGAGCAAGCAGAGAAACACATGCAAAACAGGCAGCAGTATAAAGATGCATATATAACTGGCAGCACTATTAACTTACTCAAAATATGTCACTCACTAATGAAAAAACAAATAAAAATATTATATATAAATAAATAAATAAAAAAAGAACAGAAGCTGCTCATTTAAAAACACAAACCATTTGGCAAACCCATTCAATCAGAATCTCATTCAAGAAACCTATCCCACTCAACCTCAGGCAGGCTCAAAATCAGTCTGTACTGAAAATGAAAAAAGAAGAGACCATGCCAGGTCCATCAAAATGTGGGCATATACTAATGGAGAAAAAAAAAACACCGGCCAAAGTCCACAATGATAAACAAAAACAAATGGTGCAAAAGTGAAAAATAAAAAATAAAGTCTCTTCAAAACATAATATAATAATTACCACCCACATCATATTTAAGAAAGTTTGAAGCAATAATTTCTGGGAGATTCACCACTAAATCACCAAGACATAATAAGGAGAGTGCACTCAAGAAGTGAAGGAAAATTAGAAAACAACATAAGAATTATCGAAGTTGCACTACAGAAGGACAGAATTCCATGACATTGCAATACAGTGATAGATTATTTTGTGAGATACTAGGTTGAGGATTTCACAGGAAGGAAGGAGTGAGGGGCGAGAAAGCTATCAACTAAATAAATAAATATCACAACCAAAGCATCTGATATTCAGTTACACCAATATTAAAGTTCAGTGACTATTAAAGGATACCAACCTTAAGAAAGGTTCATAAGTATCTTCATTTGCAAGAGACTTATCATGAAATAATCGTGCTCTTTTTGAGTTTGCTGCCACCAAAAAACAATACTAAGTCAGTTAATTGAATTTCATTCATAATTAAAGGCGAAATATTCCCCAGTACCTGTAAGCATGTCATCAATTAAAGATAGAACATATTCTATTGTTTCTTCCTTGAATATGTCACGTAATATGCTAATGAACACGCGAACATAAGCTGGACCATCCTGTCACAATTTCTTCAACTTGTCAACATCAACAGAAGTATTCACGAGATTACTTCTTCATTGTAAATCAGCTAAAAAATTCTCCTCAGGGATCTTATTGAATATTGAAGGTGTTGCCATCTAAAGAGCTACATCATTGAGGCCTTAAAAGAATATGATTGAATGACAAAATCTAATGTGAAGCTGCTCTCTAACAATTTAATTTCACGATACTTTTGTTCAAAGTAAGACATAACCTGCGGCCAATATGGCCATGGCCTCCACAACTGCAAGCTATCACATCATGTAATTACAATCAGCTTTACACTAGCAAAACATGAAAGTAATGATGGGATTTGATCAAGAGTTGGAACAAATAGTAATGATGACAGTGATATTCATCTCAAGCACTAGGGCAGAAATGGCAATGCAACATTACATCATCCAGCAATGCTGCTCGGTGACTTTCTGATCTGTTATCATAACGTCTTAACAGCTGAAGGCCAGTTCCTGTGATCAACTTAGTTGTCATGTATGTCTCCCATGGGATATCCCTCTTGAGAACCTTGAATACAGAACAACAAATAACCAAATAATCTTGTTAGCCTCCTGTAAATGCATAAATGTTTGTAACAGATTGAAAAAATACTTGTATTTTATTTGCTGATGTTTAAACTGAAAAATACAGCTATAACCCAAAAGCCGTTATACACCACATAAGTTGAAAAAAAAAAAATAAACACCAGAAAGTGAAAAAAAAAAAAAAAAAAAAAAAGCAACTATTTACAAAGTGAGATACAATAACAATCCAGATGGATGATAAAATGGTATCCTAGTTTCCCACCAACACCTTAATGTCTACACAATGATGAATCAGGAACATAAATTATCTTATTTAAACTACAACTAGTGTTTCAAAATGCTCTCAAAATTTTATTTTTCAAAGCACGCAACTAACCACTTTTGCAATTGGAAGCTAAGCACTCTCACAACGTTCTTAGGGAATAAAAATGTCTGAGCAAGAACACGGGAGCACAATATCTAAATTTCTAGTCAACAGCACCTTCATCCATGCATTTGACTATATTGAAACACTCTCAAGTCTCGGCATAATCCGTGGGATTAGGTGGTTAGTTGTCTTCCATTACAGCCAGTGACCTGGATTTGAGTACCACCACTCTACATTTTGTAGGAATTTTTTAGGGTTGAATGGAAACCATTAGCATAGATGATATGATAAACAACAAAACTGCCAATAAATTATGAAAGTAGCCGGATTCATAAAGTAAATCCAGATAAATCTGGATGGCACGAGTTTGCAGTAAGCCTTCATTAATTTATGTGTAAATGAAACTGCAACCCGCTATCTTCAAAACAAACTCAATAGCTCATCTAAAGTTTTTTCCTTAGTGGCACCCAATATGGGCAAAATGCCCAGAATAGCATCACAAAATTTACAATTTCCCTCAATTTACTGAAAAGAATAATTCAAATCCTTCATTCTTGCACCCTTTTTGAATATACTTATCAGAAAATAAAAAAATAAATAAGAGTATGATCTATCTAAAAAATGATTAAAATCTTTACAGTATTACTATTACTAACTTGTAATTGTTGGTAGCACAATTTCTTCTGCATATAATTCTCCTAGTACAGAATTCTCTTCGACAACACATTTCGTTTTGTTTTGGGGGGATCAATACGTGATTCATTTATATTTTCTGTAGTCTCATTGTCAACAAAATTGAATCCCATGGGTAATATAGCGTTTAGTAGACAGCCAATGAAGTTAGGAAGAAAGAGAAATCAGGTCCAAATCCAAATCCACATCTTAAGCATACTACACGATGAATCAACTGATGTAAAACTCAAATTACACCAGAACAAAAATCAAAATCAAAATCAAAATCAAAATCAAAATCAAAATATCGAATCAAAACTAAAAAGCTAAGAAATAATTCAGCGAATATACGTATGTACATATGTGTGTAGAAATATATTGATTACCTGCTCGGTAGTTAACTCGGCATGATCCATTGGCATTGTGAGAATTCCAGGAGATGCGCGAGTCGATAGGCTCTGCATAATATACAGTAATGCTACGGACCCCCAGTTGGGGTGACCCCAGTGACCCCCCCCAGTGCCACGTGTCGGCCTGAGGGTGGCTGGAAACTCAAAAAAAAAAAAAAAAATTGTTTTTTTGGACCAATGGGAGGGGACCCCCAGTACCTCCACTGGGGGTCCAAAGCTTTATTCTATAAAATGGAAAATGGCTCATACACCCACTGGAGGTCGACCCCCAGTGAGGTGTCACTCCGGGATTGGCCGAAAAAAAAAACTGTTTTTTTTTTTTTTTGAGTTTTCAGCCAGTGGGAGCGCGCCACGTCACTGGGGGCGCGACCCCACTGGGGTATGCAGCGCGGTTGATATAAAATATATGTAAATGCATACATATATCTTTTTGGTTAAATTACACTCACTTCCCTTTAAATTTTAAAAAATTACACAAAGCCTGTATATATGACATAATTACACTCTACTTTCTTAAATTTTAATTCATACAATACTTACCCTAATTTCCATCACTAATTTGTTAACCATCATATTAATAAATATATATATATTATTTCTTTTATATTGAAATATATATTCTATTAGTATTATTGTTATATTTATAAACCATTTGCATAGTCGTTTTACTATAGTCTTAGAACATCTATAATATAGTGATAAACAATGTGTTAGAGTGAGTATTATGTAACAAAAAGTAAGATCTAAAAACATGTGTTCAATGTTTGTTAATTTATACCGTGAATAAATGTATTCAAATGTCACTGATAGCTCTATCTAAAATGGTAAAGCAAATTCTCTTTCAACGTACGGTCATATTTTGCAACAAGTGGCATCGATAAGTAGGTAATTTTGACAATTTAAAGCCAATCAAGTGAACATAAAAGGTAATATGTTGGCCCATGAGTTGGCCAGAATGGCAAGACGTAATAGTTTTCAGTAAGTATGGATGGAAGATGTTCCAACTAAGTTGTCGACACATACTCTTAGAGAGGCTGCTGATTCTTTATAGTTAGTCTATACTTTCACCATCTAAAAAAAATGTCTAGTAAAATAACATTTGATACCTTTATACTATAATAATAACTCGATTGTGACGCAAAATAACTCATTTTTTCCTAACTAACTTGGCATCTAACTCTAAAACACTATTAGGAGATCCATTATAAATGCTTTTTCTAAATATATATATATATATATATTAATATAATTATATCAAATTTATTAGATTTATTATATATTTCTCATGAATGATCAATATAATTTATACTACCTATTTTTATAGCCTAAGATTAAACCATAAGTGGTAATGTTTTTTTGAAGAGATTATAGAGAAAAATAAAGAGAGAGAAAATATAGAACTTTGTATATTGAGAGTGTATAAACAAGATACAACGAGGTTCTTTATAGAGGAGATAATACACATGCTAAATATGGAAGGAATTAATCACTGTCAATCACCTATAGAAGGTGAATCAATCAACCAATCTATGGAAGGTGAATCGATTAACCAATATATAGCCAATCAACCAATATATTACAATATATACATACTAACATCCCCCTCACAAACTCAAGATGGAAAGACGTCAACCAACATGAGTTTGGAAACTAAATCATTGAAACGATCGGGAGGATGAGCCTTGGTGAAGATATCAACAAGTTGATCATCGAAAGTAATGGAATAGAGATGAACTGTGCCATGAGTAACATGTTGACGAATAAAATAACAGTCAATCTCAATATGTTCAGTATGATCATGGAAGACGTCATTATGAGTACTTTGAATGGCACTTCAATTATCACAATAGAGAGAAATAGCTTCAGTAGAAGATACATCCATGACAACAAGAAGCCTGCGGAGCCATAAAAGTTCTTGGGTAGTATCCACTAAAGCTCGATATTCAGCCTCAGTATTAGAACGAGCAATGAGAGTCTATTTCTTGCTTCACCAAGAAACTAAAGAATCTCCAGCCTAATCAGCATCCAAATAGGCATAAAGCTTAAGAGAGTAGAAAGCATAGAGCAGAATAGTGAAGACCATGAAACAAAGTACCCTTGAAATAGCGAAGAATGCGAAAAAGGACATCATAATGAGGCGTGCGAGGGGCCAACATATGTTGACTAACAACGTAGACAGCATATGCAATATCAGGACGAGTAACTGTAAGATAGATATAGCTATCGACTAACTGCCGGTAGAGTGTAGCATCAGAGAGAAGAATGTCATCTAATGGAGTAAGGTGAGCTTGAGGATCAAGTAGTAGTAGTCTTGCAATCTGTAAGTGCAGCACGAACAAGAAGATCAGATGTATATTTGACTTGAGAGAGATAATAACCAGTTGAGTCATGAGTGATTTCAAGGCCCAAGAAATAATTGAGAGAACCAAGATCCTTCATCTCAAAATGATAGCAAAGAAACTGTTTGAAGCTAAGAATATTAGCTTCATCATCACATGTGATAATCATATCATCCACATAAAGAAGAAAAAAAAAGTGATGCACTGAGCAATGGTCCGAATAAATAAGATAGAGTCATAAAAACCGGAGGTGAAGCCAAAGTCATGAATAGTATCACTGAACTTGGCAAACTAAGCACAGGGAGCTTGCTTGAGTCCATATAAGGCGTACTACAATTTGCTGACTTTATGTGCCGCAACAGTAGACCTAGAAGGGGGTTGCATATAGATCTCCTTAAGAAAATCACCATTAAGGAAAGCATTTTCCACATCAATCTGAAAAGGCCCCAATGATAAACAGTAGCAACAGCAATCAAACTACAAATAGAAGTAAGAGGAGCAACAAGAGCAAAAGTATCCTCATAATCAATACCATATTTTTAAGTGAAGCCCCGGGCAACCAGACGAGCTTTGTACCGCTCAATAAATCCATCAAAATGAATCTTGATTTTAGAAACTCATTTACAACCAATCACGGTCTTACCAAAGAAAGATCAACAATAATCCAAGTATGAGTTTTGTCTAATGCTTGCAGTTCATCAGTCATAGTTTGTTGCCAAAAAAGGTTAGGATAAGCCTCACAATAGGAGGTAGACTCATAAGTAGAAAAAGTAGTCAAACTAACAATATAATCACGAAGACAAACATTAGGTTGTGTGACCCGTTGTAGACAACCGGAAAGAGCAGGCTCAATAGGAGATGAAGTGGATGATAAAGACTCATCAAGAGGCAAAGGAGCCAAGGAGACACCAGTAAGACCATCAAAGAGAGCAGTCTTGGCAGAATCAAACGTAGACAATGGTGTCTCTAGAGGTAAATCATCAGGAAAGAGATCTATGGAGGGATCAATAAAGTGGAAAGTGAAAGAAGAAGATAAGTGAAAGGAGTAAAATGAGGCAAACATTTTATGTTCCCAAAAAATGACATGACGAGATATACGAAGATACCTAGAAATAGGGTCCCAACATCGATAACCTTTATATTCAATTCCATATCAAAGAAACACAACAAAGACGAGAATGAGATTATAGCTTAGTGTGTTCATGAAGCTAAAAAAGAACAAAACATGCAGACCCAAAAAATCTAAGTGCGATGTAAGAAAGAGAAGTGTCACAAATGCTCATAGGGTGTTTGATTATGAAGGATTGGAGTAGGGACATAATTGATAGTGTAAACAACAGTAAATGTAGCTTCCTTCCAGAAATTTTCAAGACAAGAGGAAAAAATACGAAGAGCTCAAGTATTATCAAGAATATGCCTATGTTTTCACTTAGCACGCCCATTTTGTTGGGGCGTGCCTGTACAATAACAATAAGGCTGAGTACCATCACTCTAAAGAAAAGCCAAAAAAATCAGAATCCCTGTATTCCATAGCATTATCAGAACGAAATTTTTTTATAGTCTTGGAAAATTGAGCTTGAACCATTTTGAAAAAATTGTAATAAAGTTGTTTAAGTTCAAAACAATTTTTCATAAAAAGTATCAAAGTATAACATAAAAAATCATCAACAAAAATAATAAAGTAACGAGATCCCCCCACTGTAGATGTAGGGGTTGGGCCCCATATAGGGGTTGGGCCCCAAATATCCTAATGTACAAGATCAAAATGAGCACTAGAAACATAATTACTTTTATTAAAAGATAAAGTCGGTTGTTTAGCAAGTTGACAAGATAAATAATCTAAAGTATCTATAGAGTCAGATCCTAACTGACGAATAAAAGTTAAAGATTTTAACCAACTAATATAAATATGACCTAACCGACAATGCCAACGATGAAAATTTGATAAGATAGAGATAAATGTAGAGGCAACCAATAGAGTGGAAGCCGGAATATGAAGATATATGAGCTCATAGAGACGTCCATGCTTACGGCCAATCTCAAGGGTCTGTCCCGTTCGAAGGTCCTGCACCAAACAACCTTTAGCAGAAAAGGTGACAGTTAGACCATCTTCACATAACTAAGTAATGGAAATAAGGTTTAAAGTGAGAATAGAAATAAGATAAACATGAGATAAGAACAAATGAGATGTAGATACAAATCCAATATGACTCACAGACATGAAAGATCCATCAGCTATATGGATGGAAGAAATATGAAGAGAAGAAAATGTAAAGGAAAAAATGGTAGAGTCAAAAGTCATATGGTTACAAGAGGCAGAGTCAAAATACCAGGAAGATGTACCTGAGGTGACAAACAAAGCAGTGGAAGAAGGAGTATCGGAGGTTGAGATAAACTGTTTAATCAAAGTTTCAACATCCGTTTGGAAAAATATAAGGGTGGAAGGATCTAAAGGCTTAGATAGTGAAAAGTCCTTAGAGGCAGCAGCAACAGTGCGATGAGTAAGTAGAGACCGAGATTGAGACTCAGATTAATGTGAATGTCCCCAAGAGTGAGAGCCACGCGAAGATGACCCAATAAAGGATGGGCGAGATGAATTACGAAAGCAATCTTGTTGGAGATGACTATGGCTAGTTTTGTTGCAGTAACGACAAGATCGGACTGAACAGTGAACCAGAAGATAAGTAGAAAGAAGCCTGTGATACTGACAATAGGTGCACTAAGAAGTCGGCTGGGAGAAAGAGGATCTCCGTGATTCAGGAGTGGCCAGAACTGAGTCCACC